TAGTTCTAAATTATTCCCACGTGGCGGCTAACGATTGGCCTGTTAGCCGTATAAGAGGCTTGAGCGGTTTCCGCCCAAGCCCAAGAGGACTCCACATCCATCTCGTGGGGACTCTGGATCCATCGCCCACCTCTTCCCGTCTTCGAGCGCAAATTTTATAAGACGTATCTCCGATTCCGATTTTGGTGGCGCGTTCACCCAGAGCATCCGGAGCTCTGTTCCGTGGAGCCTAGCAAACTCCACGCGACCGTCCGTGTTGTCTGTGTCTGTAACCGCAACTCAAGCAAGTTTTCCAGCCTACACCACTGCCATCTCGGTGTAAGTAAACAATCTTTAAAACTACCGCTAAGCATTTGTGCCTAATTCCAGCTCGTCGCCCTCCCTCTCCAATCCAGCGTGCCTGGGCTGCTGGCCACAGCCTGCGTGCAGCACGAAAAAGGGCTCGGGTTGCTCCCAGCCTGCACAGAGTTATTACTTTCTGCCTTTCTAAATTGGTCAGAATTGCAACTGGATAAAGTTCCTGGGATATACACCTACTATCCTGATTTTGAACTGACAGTTTGCTCCAATGAAGAGGTAATTACATTTTCGTGGGGGTAAAGTTATTTCCAAGCCGTGTTTGTAAAGCGTTTCAATTTTTTTTCAGGAAAGTTCTGCATAAAGCTAAAATCTAATATTATCTAATAAGATTTTTGGCACTTCAAAAATTCTTCATTAACTCTTCTTTAATTGCTTACTTCTGTGCCTGTGCCTGAGCGACCTAGAAGATTTGTTTTTTTATTTGTTTTCTTTTTAATTTCCAAGCAAGAAATACCATAAGTTGAAAGTAATCTTTGGGTTATGGTTACAGCACATAATTCCATGCATCAGTGATTGTTTTTTAGGTTGGACAATGTCTCTACAGGGACATGTCCAAAGTGAATATACTGGGTCGATCAGATATTATACCAACACCTCTGCTTTCTCATAGTTCTATATTTTTATTTAATTTAAAAATAAAAATATCTCCCTTAAATTACATAAAATTGCTGTTTTCCCTGGCATGCTAGAGGAGCCAGGGCAGAACTAGAGAAAGGGAGATACTCTGGCCAGTAGCCAGAGCATCTTCTGGGAGGACCGAGCCTTTGTATCTGCCAGTGCATGCTGTTGTGGAGCACAACACACCACGTTTTTGCAGTGTTTTTTTTTTTTTGCTACCATGATTTCTAGGTAGCAAACGTTGTCCCTGAAAATTTGCAGTGTAGGGCATGTTTTAATGTGCTGGGCGTGCAGTTTGTGGCACTGTTAAGAGCTTTGTAGCACCCTAAGCCTCACGTGCCTGCACATCTGGACCTGGCCAGTGAGTCCATTGATCAGTTTTCATGCAGGTTTGTCTCCATTTGCCCATGACAACATACTGAGCAGATGAAAGGAAAGTGAGCTGTTAAACATTTTTGTTTTAATTCTGCTTTTGTTGTCTGTTAAGATATATTGTAAGTACTTCTACTTTTTTTTAAAAGACCCAATAAATCTAACATTTAGTTGCTGTATTTTTTTTTGTAAAAGTAGCAGGTACTTCTGGTTTCTGTAGCACAGGTGATATTGGTCACAGAAACAAAGTTAGCACCAAATAAATTAAACAGTTATGGAATATTTCAGTCTATCCAGGCATTATTCCAAAAGTCTAAGAGCTGGATCTTATTCCTACTGCTAACCGTCTGCACTGCCAGCAACCAAAAGAATTTTCCAAGGAGACGGATCATGATCTTCAGAACTATGCCAATTCTAGAAGGAATAAAATGGATTTTGCCACCACAGGCTGTATCTGAGAAAAAACAAGAGCCAAGTTTTTCTCAGTAGCAATTTTTGTTGTTTACATTACCTAAAAACGAACTGTTCTGCATAACTATTGCACAACATTGGAATAAGGGTTGATAACGTGAGAAGTCTGGCATGTAAACCAATTCTAAGAAGCTTTGTACTAGAGAGTTCACAAACCTATGAGTCATTACAGATAACACTGAAACCACCAACTACACACACAACCAGTGGGATAAACAATCCAAACAGATGAAAAGATATCAAGTGATCAACAAGCTTGCAACTGCAAAATACATTATTGGGCAATGTGCATGCTAACCATGTAAGGAAGAATTCCTGACACAAGTGTTTCTAACCTAACCAGGGGGTTGTACATTCCACAGCATCAAAAGAGGCTAAAGGGCATGTGTTAACTTACTCAACAATGACAATCTACAGAAGATGGATGGATGGTAATGGGACTGTATTTGTTATTGTTACTGTATTCAGAGTTGTACTGGAACAGATCCCTGAGCAAAATCAACATTTTACTTTAACATCTGGGAGGGATGTGGTGGCTCATTCTCACACCTCCTTGTACTACATGCTGAAGCCAGCTGTCCAGAAAGCACACAAAGGGGCTCCTGGACACCTGGGTCCCCCAAGGAGTCCAAACAGGAACTAAGGTCAGACCATGATGGAGATGAAGGGCATAGCTAGAGCCCCCAGGCTGGTGGGGGGCACCTGGATGGGGTAGGCAGGCACTAGGCACAAAAAAAGAACCTACCTATTGCCGTTGCTGTCCCTGGTTGACCCAGGCATGGGGTGGCAGGAACCCCAGAGCTGCTCATACCCTGTTCCAGCTGGGCACAGCAGGGACAGTAAGCAGGTTTCTTCTTCCTGCCACTGCTTTTAGCTGGCAGGGGACACAGTAGGGATGAGTGGCATGTAGGGAGCAGACACCAAAATGGGAGCTGACCAGTACTACCACTGTCCCCTCTTAAGCCAAAAAGCCACTCCCTGCAACTGCTTTCTAACCAGCAGGAGCTCAAGGGGGCTGCAGTGGACTGTCAGTGCCACACTGCAACTGCCATCTCCCAGAGCTGTAGCTCTGCTCACTTCTTGAGGACTGGAGCCAATGTCAGTGGGTACTCCCTTGCTGCTCACTTCTGCTCTCCCTGATTGTCCCTCTCCTGCCAGAATCAGGAGGTGGAAACTCCATACACCCACTCCCTGCTGGAACCAAAGAGGTACACAGAGACCGGGGGCTGGGGACCAGCAAGGGTGTCATTGGCAATGGCAGTGGTTGTCTTGGTAGGGGTGACAGCATGGGGTCTCAGCAGCAGCAGGGGTCTCAGTGGCAGCATAAGACCCCTCCACACTTCTGCCACCTGGATTCTAGTTCTCCAGGCCCCAGTCAAATATGATGTCTATCTGCACCCTAAGGTTTGAAAGAACTTGTCAAGGAACTTCACAAATGACTTAGCTATTGTGTGGTTCTTTATATATTGTCCAGAAGTTGGAACATAAGAGAGAAAATTATACAAGGACTAAATATTTACAAGATCAGGTCATAAGTCTACCTACTTCAGTACCATAGGCAATAGCAAATGGTTAAAAGGTGAAGAGCTCTTTTAACATATCTCGCCAATTGTGTTGTACACTGAGGGAAAATAAACTTCTCTGAACCATAAGATCAGGGCATTCTTCAGCATCTAATTACATCTTAAAATGATGTACATAATGTAAACAAATAAGAATACAAACCATAATGTTGACTATTTCTTCAGGGGCTCCAACATAAAATATGCTCAGTTTATAAACCTTAGAGAAATTAACTTTCTCATTACCAAGCTGCAAAAAGAAAATAGTAAAAGCAATGGTATGGGCCACTGTACCATGGGCACATGCACACATGCAAGCACGTGCATTTGCAGCAGCTCAAATAGAAGCAGTGAAAATTAGAGCTGGGGCTTTTTGCCTCACTGCATGTGCCTGAACATGCACTTTGGCATGGGCGACTGGTGCTTCCTGAGTTGGCCGGGGTGGGGCATATGCTCCCCAGCAGCCAGTCAGTGACTGGGGGGGGGGGTCCTCCGCAGCCGATCTCCCCAACCGGCATGGGGGGGGGGGCTGTGTCCTGGAAGTGCTGATCATAAGCAGCGCTCCTGGAAGTGTCAGCAGCACTCCTAGCACCCCCACTCCCTGGCTGGCACTCGCAGTGGGGGCACCAGCACTCCCACCTGCATGCCCTGCCTGTAGCCTAACTGGGGAGCACTGGCTGTCAGGAGGTGCACCCCAGCACTCTCAGGGGGTGCAAGTGCACCCCGCGTGCCCCCTATGCATCACCACTGCATTTTGGGGTGGAGCAAATTGTGCCACTTGGGGCAAAATAACCTTGCCTGGCTTCTCCTGGATCTGCAGCCAGGGGGAGCTAGAGCCTGGGACCAGCACCTGTGCTGTCCCCAGCAGGACAAAAAGCTGCCCTGTCAAATAGCTCAGGACTACTCGCTCTCGGGAGCTTCTGGGGCCTGGACAATTGGTACCTGGGGACACTACCCCTTGTGCCAGCTGGACTGCTGAATCAGCCCTGAGATTTCCCTGCACCCTCTACCCACTGCAGCAGTTTGGCAATGGGGGCTGCTGCCTAGCTGTGACCTGCTGTGGA